GCTTTCTCCCATTTCTATGTGGGGTCGCCGTTATGGATGAGCCGCCTCCACTGATTTTGCTATTACGGGTCATTCCATACTGGTTTTGGGATAGGTTTTTACAGTAGGATGCCCTTCCTGACAGTAACCCTCTCTATTTATCCCGGCTTGAGACGGCACCCACAAATGCTGGCTTGCCCCTCAGGTGGCTCTTATGATGGACAATAACAAACAAAAATATATCAAAAGTGTCTTTCACATGGTAAATGGCAACCCAACACTCAAACAGTTGGAGCGCCACTGAAGTCCAAGGTATTTCTGAAATACGCCGTCGACCACTGATTATATACATATGCGGATATTACACCATAGACACTATACTTTACATCAATGAATAAACATAGATAAATATAGATATGGATATTGATGCCTTTTGTCTTAATAGATTTCTCTCGATCATCTAGCTCATACCAATTTATATGCATTATAGCTACGTCGCTTGATAGTCGTATACACAGGCACCTTTAATAATTACGTCACGTTCCTAAGAAAAACAAAAGGTAAGCTATTTTCTAATTTACATTGATTTGTTATATTACTGTCACTGAGATCGCTGATGTTAACTGAAACTGAATCAGTGTCTATGTACACTATACTCCGAGCAAAAATCACTGGAATGCGGATTCTAATTTTGTCTTGGTCAGTCTTGAAATTGAACTACATTTGTCTTGTTAATAATTAATAATTATATTAATAATTGAACTATATTTGTCTTGTCCGTCAGTGTAAGAGAAGTTATTTTCTCTTTTTATGACATGGCCGTGTGTAAAAGTGTGCATTAACTGCCAGGACAGTATTAATCATAGTTTATCATCCTTTTAATGCCTCTTCCATCATTATAATATACGTTTTGTAATCTATGGTATTCGTAGCCTGTTTTGACACTACCCTGGAACATAACAGTAATAATGATATGGTATGAAATGATGATAGCCTTACCAATGCTGGTGATAATAATAACGATTATTATCAAATTTGATTGGAGTAAATCACAAATCAGGGCCTTGAATCTGACTGAGTGAGGCAGGAACTCGGGCGGGCTGTGACCTTGACCTGTAGAGATCGTCCTCAGGTCAGGAACCATTCAAAAGCCTCTTCCCGCTCGTTTCCCTCACCAGTGTTCCTCTCGTTCAAGATGGATAACTTTGAGTACATTTTTTCTTATCCGTCTGACGTGGCTGCCTCTCAGTATGGGTCTGACGCGGCTGGATATGCTTGGACGTTTGGAGACGTTGTGGGGGTGTCCTCGAGGGACATCATGGACCACTTACTAGGAGCGCCCTTGCCGCCCCCGAAGAGACAGTGCGTTCGACCTCCGACTGATCTCTCATGGTGTCAGCCTTCCTATGCAAGTTACTCCACTCCCTTTGTTGGGAGGCCATCGCAATCGGATCTGGACGCAGCTTCATGGTTTCGGTGTCTGCGCCCCCACGAAAAGGAGGCGATTTCACCCTCGCCTGCTCCAGCGCCTCCTTCAGTAAGCCAAGAATTCAAGAGCGCTCTCGGCCCCGTCACTGTCACCTTCCTGTCGCCGCAGGTAACCTCCTCTCCAACCCCTCCTGCGTCCTCCGCCGCAGAAGGAAGAACGCCCACTGTCATCTCTGCGACAAGCGCTTCGAGAGTCGCTACAAGTTAAAGATGCACGTCAATACCCACACGGGTGCTCGGCCCTTCACGTGCGACGTGTGCGGCAAGGGCTTCATGCGACGGACCACCCTCAACGCACATCGAACCATCCACGACGCCTCCCAGTTCTCGTGTCCCACCTGCAACCGCCCCTTCAAGCGCTCGTCCGAAAGGCTTATTCACATCCTGCTGAAGGTGTGTCTACGGAAGCAAAGAATCCTTCGTCGGACAACCAGCGGCTGGTTTTGTGATGTGTGCAACGAAGGCGTTCCCCAGCCGGAGGAACATCGGTGTCCTGTCAAAGGTCGTCGACGTCAGTGCCCTGTCTGCGGGATGGACTTCGGCGGGCAGCGCGACCACAAGATGTTGACTCATGTCCGCCAGGATCACCCAGAGTTCCTGGCTTCGTTGTAATTGCATGTACTTCCCAGGACCAGTGACTCTTGCCCAGTGATATGTTGTAGATGGCATGGAAAATAAAAATCTATGAATGGTACTTTTTGCATTTCTATCATTTGAAATATACTGTCAATAACTGCATATTTACACACAAACATCAACAAATATAACGAGCATGGAATGCAGTTAGAAAGGTAAAGAGCGTTGTTAATGAGAACAAAGGGGAAACAGAACGAAATGATGGAGGGGTGTGGGGATACGGAGCAAGGAGAGTGAAGGTGGAGTTGAAACGTGGTGGTGGGCTGCAATGCGCAAACATGAAGACGAAGAAGAAAGGAGGAAATTTAGAAACAGGTGGTTTAAGTTGACGAAAAGCAAATTACACAAATAGACATAGGTGTGTTTGGATGTTTATATTTCTGTTTATCTGTTTATATATCTACATATTCAGCTCTCTCCCTGCCACCCTATCTATAAATCTATCTATATATGTCTACCTATGTTCCGGCTCACCTATGTATCTATTGATATATATCTATCAGTAAATTTACATTCCTACCCACTTAACTATCTATACATACACACACACATATATATATGTGTGTGTATGTATATATACAGATATATATTAATTTATTATCAATCTATCCACTCCTATATATTTATTATCTATCTCTCGATAGGTAATGGCTATTAATATCGATTTATCCACTGGTGTCTATCTATCTATTGATATCTATCTCGATTTCTATGATATCTATTTAGGTGTATTGATATTTATTTATTTACCTTTTCATCTGTCGATATCTATCTTTCGATATCTGTCTATTTATCGACATCTGTCTTTATCTTTCTATATATAACTATCTATCGATGTCTTTCTAAAATTTTCTATCGATATCTATTTTCCAGTCTATATCAATCGATATCTATTATTATCTATATATTGATATCTATATATCTTTATCCATTTATCGATATCTATCATTATATATCTATCGATAGGTATCTTTCTATCTATAACTATCGATATCTATGTTTATATAGCTATTGATAGCTATTTATCTTTATCTATCCATCGATATCTATCTGGCGAGAACGTCTTCGACTGCACGAGATGCAACTCCTTCGCGCGCCGTCTTGAGTCGCAGGAAAAACGTATATATCTTAGACAAATGGAAAGCACACTGACTCGTAATATCATAAACGTCCTTGAAGACTTAAAGGACAGTCGAGACTTAAGATAAATGTTATTCTTCCTACACCATGATGCAACTCGCGATGTAAATAACAAATACTCATTCAACATAACAATACTGATATTATGAATACATGAAAATATTTATACTACATATATACACACACGGTGATCTTATGTATACCATCTATATATCATTCACCTCACTCCCTCTACACTAAACCCATTCAATCCTTCTCAGCTTTCTCCCATTTCTATGTGGGGTCGCCGTTATGGATGAGCCGCCTCCACTGATTTTGCTATTACGGCTCATTTCATATTGGTTTTGGTGTGGTTTTTACAGTCGAATGACTTCAAGGTATTTCTGAAATACGCTGTCGACCACTGATTATATACATATGCGGACATTACACCATACACACTATACTTTACAATGAATAAACATAGATAAATATAGATATGGATATTGATGCCTTTTGTCTTAATAGATTTCTCTCGATCATCAAGCTCATTCCAATTTATATGCATTATAGCTACGTCGCTTGATAGTCGTATACACAGGCACCTTTAATAATTACGTCACGTTCCTAAGAAAAACAAAAGGTAAGCTATTTTCTAATTAACATTGATTTGTTATATTACTGTCATTGAGATCGCTGATGTTAACTGAAACTGAATCAGTGTCTGTGTACACTATACTCCAAGCAAAAATCCCTGGAATGCGGATTCTAATTTTGTCTTGGCCAGTCTTGAATTTGAACTACATTTGTCTTGTTAATAATTCATAATTCTATTAATAATTGAACTATATTTGTCTTGTTCCTCAGTGTAAGAGAAGCTATTTCCTCTTTTTATGACATGGCCGTGTGTAAAAGTGTGCATTAAATGCCAGGACAGTATTAATCATAGTTTATCATCCTTTTAATGCCTCTTCCATCATTATAATATACGTTTTGTAATCTATGGTATTCGTAGCCTGTTTTGACACTACCTTGGAACATAACAGTAATAATGATATTGGTATTGAAATGATGATAGCCTTACCATAGCTGGTGATAATAATAACGATTATTATCAATTTTGATTGGAGTAAATCACACATCAGGGCCTTGCATCTGACTGAGTGAGGCAGGAACTCGGGCGGGCTGTGACCTTGACCTGTAGAGATCGTCCTCAGGTCAGGAACCATTCAAAAGCCTCTTCCCGCTCGTTTCCCTCACCAGTGTTCCTCTCGTTCGATCACCAAGATGGATAACTTTGAGTACTTTTTTTCTTATCCGTCTGACGTGGCTGCCTCTCAGTATGGGTCTGACGCGGCTGGATATGCTTGGACGTTTGGAGACGTGGGGGTGTCCTCGAGGGACATCATGGACCACTTACTAGGAGCGCCCTTGCCGCCCCCGAAGAGACAGTGCGTTCGACCTCCGAGTGATCTCTCATGGTGTCAGCCTTCCTATGCAAGTTACTCCACTCCCTTTGTTGGGAGGCCATCGCAATCGGATCTGGACGCAGCTTCATGGTTGGTGTCTGCGCCCCACGAAAAGGAGGCGATTTCACCCTCGCCTGCTCCAGCGCCTCCTTCAGTAAGCCAAGAATTCAAGAGCGCTCTCGGCCCCGTCACTGTCACCTTCCTGTCGCCGCAGGTAACCTCCTCTCCAACCTCCTTCCCGGCCGCAGAAGGAAGAACGCCCACTGTCATCTCTGCGACAAGCGCTTCGAGAGTCGCTACAAGTTAAAGATGCACGTCAATACCCACACGGGTGCTCGGCCCTTCACGTGCGACGTGTGCGGCAAGGGCTTCATGCGACGGACCACCCTCAACGCACATCGAACCATCCACGACGCCTCCCAGTTCTCGTGTCCCACCTGCAACCGCCCCTTCAAGCGCTCGTCCGAAAGGCTTATTCACATCCTGCTGAAGGTGTGTCTACGGAAGCAAAGAATCCTTCGTCGAACAACCAGCGGCTGGTTTTGTGATGTGTGCAACGAAGGCGTTCCAGCGGAGGACCATCGGTGTCTGAGTTCCTGGCTTCGTTGTAATTGCATGTACTTCCCAGGACCAGTGACTCTTGCCCAGTGATATGTTGTAGATGGCATGGAAAATAAAAATCTATGAATGGTACTTTTTGCATTTCCGTCATTTGAAATATACTGTCAATAATTGCATATTACACACAAACAACAATATATAACGAGCATGGAATGCAGTTAGAAAGGTAAAGAGCGTTGTTAATGAGATCAAAGGGGGAAACAATACGAAATGATTGAGGGTGGTGGGATACGGAGCAAGGAAAGTGTAGGTGGAGTTGAAAGAAAGGCTGCAATGCGCAAACATGGCCAATACGAAGAAGAAATGAGGAAATTTAGAAAACAGGCGGTTTAATTGGACGAAGAGCAAATTACACATATAGACATAGTGTGTACGGATGTTTTATATTCTACCTATTGGCTTTTTCCTGCTACCCTATCTACAAATTTATCTATCTATCTATCTATCTATCTATATCAGTCTATCGTCCCGGCTCAGCTATGTATCTATTGATATATAATATATATACATATATATATATATTATATATATATATATATATATATATATATATATATATATATATATATATATTTATATATATATATATATATATATATATATATATATATATATTATATATATATATATATATATATATATATATATATTGTGTGTGTGTGTTTCTGCATTGCATGAGTTTCGTAGCGCGAACTGATTATCTCCCGGCACATATCTTATCGTTTTGCTTTGGGGAATCGGTGGAATATTCTCGGGATTATGTTGTCGTAGTTGATAGTTCACTGCAGTCGTGGCTTGTCTCATGGTGGTATATTTGGTAGAGGATAAAAGGGAATTGCTGATAGTACTGTCTACGTTGGTAGCACTGGTGGTGGTGGAAGCGTTGATAGTGTTGGTAGTACTGGTGGTGGTTTGGGGGCCAGGAGTCACTGGCAGGGAGGATTGGAGAAGTGGAAAGGTCAATGGTCTTCCAGTCTCTTCATTGCTTGGTTGACGATCACAGGTGAGAAGTTTCGATCGGACTGAAAAGACTTTTTTCCCTTCGGATTCGGCCTTCAGGTTGTGCCTTTCTTTATGCATAAGGCCCCGGGTCACAGGGCCTCGTTAAGGAAGACGGATCCCGCAGCTTCCGGGCGTGACGCATCGCAGCATCCCTGACCGCCAGATGGTAGAACCGCACCAGGATCGTCCGAGGGCGGTGGTCTCGGTGCTGTCCTCCGCGGTGGGCGTGAACAAGGGCACGTCCTCCAAGCTCAGCTGCTCCTTCAGGAAAGCCTGCGCTTAGACGGTGGAGTGTTCCCCTTTCTCCTAAGGCGTCTCCTCCATCCGTCGGTGCCCAGATTGTTCCTCCAGACGCCGACGTCCCCATCGTTGGCGCGGGCGTGCAGATCCTGGTAGAAGTTTGGAGGCCGGCGATTTCGCGTCGGTCACTCTCTCGCGAATCCCGCTGAACCCGTACGGCCTCTTGCAACTCGCCAATTTCCCGTTGAATAAATTCTAAGCTCCTTTTCAATTCAATAACATCGGTAGTAAGTTCACTTTAGAAAAAACTTGGCCAAGAAAAAAAATTGAAGGGTACCTTGGTAAGATTTTTCTTGACTGTCCGGTAAGATCTTAATTGTTTCTGCAATTAAGGCGGGGAGGGGGGGGAGCTGCAGGGAACGGGCAGTGGGGCAGTTGATGACGTATGATTGACGAAGTCTTTAGTGACGTCCTTTTTGGCGTAACAAGTCGGCGGGATCGGAAAGGCGTTGATATTAACACTGCTCTTCACAAAGTCCAAAATCTAAATATTTTTCACCGACTTGCACATTATGATGATAATAATGATAATAATAATAATAATAATAATAATAATGATAATAGTAAAGAGAATGATAATAACAATGATAATCATATTCATAATTAAAATAATTATGGTAGTAACAATGATAATGATGATGATAATACTAATAATAAGAATAATAACTATGAGAAGAATACAATAATCATTAAGATAAAGAAGTACAATGATAGCAATAATGAGAATCACATTAAAATGATCATGTAAAGATGGGTAAAGATGCACGTGAATACCCACACGGGTGCTCGGCCCTTCACGTGCGACGTGTGCGGCAAGGGCTTCATGCGACGGACCACCCTCAACGCACATCGACCCATCCACGACGCCTCCCAGTTCTCGTGTCCCACCTGCAACTGCCCCTTCAAGCGCTCGTCCGAAAGGCTTATTCACATCCTGCTGAAGGTGTGTCTACGGAAGCAAAGAATCCTTCGTCGGGCAACCGGCGGCTGGTTTTGTGATGTGTGCAACGAAGGCGTTCCCCAGCCGGAGGAACATCGGTGTCCTGTCAAAGGTCGTCGACGTCAGTGCCCTGTCTGCGGGATGGACTTCGGCGGGCAGCGCGACCACAAGATGTTGACTCATGTCCGCCAGGATCACCCAGAGTTCCTGGCTTCGTTGTAATTGCATGTACTTCCCAGGACCAGTGACTCTTGCCCAGTGATATGTTGTAGATGGCATGGAAAATAAAAAATCTATGAATGGTACTTTTTGCATTTCTATCATTTGAAATATACTGTCAATAACTGCATATTTACACACAAACATCAACAAATATAACGAGCATGGAATGCAGTTAGAAAGGTAAAGAGCGTTGTTAATGAGATCAAAGGGGGAAACAGAACGAAATGATGGAGGGTGTGTGGGGATACGGAGCAAGGAGAGTGAAGGTGGAATTGAAACGTGATGGTGAATGGCTAGCAATGCGCAAACATGAAGACGAAGAAAGGAGGAAATTTAGAAACAGGTGGTTTAATTTGACGAAAAGCAAATTACACAGACATAGGTGTGTTTGGATGTTTATTTTTCTGTTTATCTGTTTATATATCTACATATTCAGCTCTCTCCCTGCCACCCTATCTATAAATCTATCTATATATGTCTACATATGTTCCGGCTCACCTATGTATCTATTGCTATATATCTGTCAGTAAATTTACATTCCTACCCACTTAACTATCTATACATACACACATATATATATATATGTGGTGTGTTGTATATATACATATATATATATTAATTTATTATCAATCTATCCACTCCTATATATTTATTATTATCTATCTCTCGATAGGTAATGGCTATTAATATCGATTTATCCACTGGTGTCTATCTATCTATTGATATCTATCTCGATTTCTATGATATCTATTTAGGTGTATTGATATTTTATTNTTTGCTTTTGCTTGCTTTCTTTGTTTTGTATGGTAGAATGAGGGGGGGGGTGGGTATGCTTGTCTGATTGATGTTATTTCGAACTGTATTGAATTCAGATTCAAGCTCCAATGTTTTAAAGGTGTTTTAAGGGTAATAATCACTGTTTATTTAAACTGCAAACAACTACAATGTGTACGCTTAGAAAATATAATTAATGTTTTAGCCCTATTTTCATTAATAATTCATATACCTCATAAATAAAGCAGGTTTTGAAATATAAGCTCCAAACAGGATCTAATTAGTCATTGCTTATTATTTTTATTTCCTAAGAAAAAACGGATTTCTTTTATGGTAAGGTTATAAGGAGCTTCATTAAAGGTACTTGAGATTTTTTATACTATCTTTCCTTAAGTTAGAGGAACTGGTTTAGAGAGAAGGAAGGGTAAGATGGAGCTCGTTTTTTCTCTATCTATTTATATATCATAAAAAGTGTGTATATAATGTTATAATATATATAATATATATATATATATATATATATATATATATATATTACATATATATATATATAATATATATATATATATATACATTTATATATATATATATATATATATATATATATATATATATATAATATATAATATATATACACATATATAAAGGGTGAGAGAGAGAGAAAAAAGAAAGGAAAGGAAAGGAGGAGAGAGAAAGGAAGGAGAGAGAGAGAGAGAAATAAAGTTAAGGATAGAGAGAGAGAAGAGAGAGAGATAAAGGGAAGGATAGAGAGAGAAAGAGGGAGAAGAGAGAGAGAGTCGATTTTTCCAATCCAATCTCCCTCTCTCCTCCTCCTCCCACTCTTCCACCTCTCCTTCTCCCTCCCGCCCTCCCTCCTCCTCCTCCCTCCTCCCCCCTCCTTCTCTCCTCTCTCCCTCCCCCCTCCTTCTCCTCCCTCTCCCTCCCTCTCCCCCTCTCCCTCTCCTCCCTTTCCCTCCCTCTCTCTCTCCCTCCCTCCCTCTCTTTCTCTTCCTCCTCATCCGATTCCCTCCCTTCCTCCTTCCTCCCTCTCCTTCCCCTCTCCTCTCCTCCCTCCTCCCTCCTCTTCCTCTCTTCCTCCTCTTCCCTCTCTCTCCCTCCCTCTTCCTCCTCTCTAACCCCATCCGATTCCCCGCAGGCTCCCTCCGTCACCGGAAACACCATCGTCCTCTGGATCTTCGGCACGACCCGCAGTCTCCGGTCGGGCACGAACCTCCTCGTCATGAACCTCGCGCTCTCTGACCTGTGCATGATGCTGACCCAGTTCCCGGTGCTGGTGACCAACTGCTACAACCAGCGGTGGACTCTCGGCGCTCTGGCCTGCGAGGTAGGTTGGCTCCTTGTGTTTGTGGAGAGGAGAGGAGGGGGGGGTGAGATGGATAAAATAAGAGAAAGTAGAGAATAAGAGTAAGAGAGAAGAACAGAGTAAGAGGAATGAGAGTAAGAGAAAGGGGGGAAGGGAGGAGGATGAGAGTAGGAGAGGGGATGGGGAAGAGGCGAGAGGAGAAGAGTAAGAGAGACTAATAAGACAGACAGATAAACACTCGTGAGTTCACTCGTTCGGGGAGAGAGGAAGTAGAAAAAATGAGGAGAGAGCGAGAGAGAAAAGAAGAGAGAGAGAGAAGACAGGGAGAGAGAGAAAGAAAAGAAAGAGAGAGAGAGAGAATGGCTCTAAATTGCTCTATTTAGCAGAAAATCTTATTGGTTTTGGTATTAGCTCATTCACAAAACTCAACAGCCCTGAAAACTGCCAGGCCCTGTCTCTGAAAAGAAGACTCCGGAACCTTTAAACATTTATATAAACCTCTAGAGACTTTTTTTTAAACACTCACGAGAGCCTTTGAAACCCTTTAAACATTTACAAACGTCTCAGCGACTGTCAGTGTACAGAGATTTGTTAAATAGACTAGTTTAGAAACCTTTTGAATGAAGGTAAAAGATTTCCGGATTTTTTTTTATCAAGACACTGGGTACGAAATGAAATACTAATTAAGGAAAGAGGAGAAGGGGTGGTGGGGGTGCAGAGGCATGGAGGGGAGGGACTGAGTTAAAGAGAGAGAGAGAGAGAGATGGGGAGAAGGGAGAGAGGGAGAGAGGGATAGAGAGAGAGAGAGCGATAGAAGCAGGGAGGGAGGGAGGGAGGGAAGGAGGATAGAGAAGAGGTAGGGAGGAGAGAGCGATAGAAGGAGGGAGGGAGGGAGGGAGAGAGAAGAAGAGAGAGAGAAAGAGGATAGAAGGAGGGAGGGAGGGAGAATATAGAGAGATAAGAGGGGAGGGAGGCGAGAGAGGATAGAAGGAGGGAGGAGAGAGAGAGAGACGTCCGACAGACGACACTGAAAGATAACAGACAATACAAGGAGAAAGCAGACAGAGTAAGAAAAAAGTAAGAGTAAAGAGAAAAGACAGACTGACAATACACACAACACAGACAAAGGGGAAAAAAATGTTCCCCTCAGAATAGGAAAACACATATCACAGATTAAAGAAAAACGGAAGAATGATTTACCAATTTCCCAGCGTCACCGCACATTTGATCATGACCAAGGCATAAAATTTTGACGCCATGTCCAAGCCGGAGGGGGGGGGGTGGGGTGGGTGGGGGGGTCGTCCATCGTGGTGGACGGGAGGGGGGATGGGGGGGTCGTCCGTGGTGAGGGGGTGGGGGGGGAGTGAAAATAGTGGAAGAGGAAGTGATTCCCCATTGCTTTTATGAGTCCAAGGGGGGGGGGGCGTCCGCGTGGGTGGGGGAGGGGGGGAGTGAAAATAGGGGAGAGAGGAAGTGACTCCCCATTGCTTATATGAGTCAAGGGGGGGAGGGGGGGAAGGGGGGACGAGTGGCGACGAGTACTGTCAATAGAGTTGAATAAGATAGATCGAGGGAGAGCTGATTTCCACCCAGATATGGCGCGAGTGTTCTGTTACCTGGGTCCCACGTGACTACGAGCACGCCAGTCGGCTGCTGCGCCCTTCTGGTTTCCTTTCTTTTCTATTTCTATTCCCTCTTCTTCTCCGTTTCTTCTTCCTCTCTTTTTATCTGTTGCGCATCCTCTCTTTCTCTTCCTTCTCCTTTCCATCCTTTCTTTTTCCTCTCCTTTCCCATCCTTTCTTTTCCCTCTCTTTCCATCTTTCTTTTCCCTCTTCTTTCCATCCTTCCTTTCGCTCTTTCCCATCTTTCTTTTCCTCTTCTTTCCACCTTTTCCCTTCCCATGCCCTTCCCTCCCTTTCCACCTTTCCCTTACCCCTCTTCTCTCTCTTCTTCTCTTCCCCCCTCTCTCTCCTTTATCCTTCCTCCTCCTTCTCCCCACCCTTCTCTTGTCTTCTTTCATCCCCTGTCACTCCCTCTCCACCTCTCTCTCTCCCTCTTCTCTTCCTCTCTTACCCGCTACTCTTTCCCTCCTTCTTTCCTTCCTCCTCCTCTCCACCCTTTCTTTGCCTTCTCCTATCCCTTTTCCCTCCCCTCTCCACCTTCCCCTTACCCCCCCCCTCTTTCCTTCCTCCCTCTCTCCCCTTCTTCCTTTCTCTCCCTCACTTCCCCTTCTCCTCCTTTCCTCTCTCCCCCTCCTCTCCCCTTCCTCTCTTCTCCACTCTTCCTTGCCTTCTTCCTATCCCTTTTCCCTCCCCTCTCCCCTTCTTCCTTCCCCCCTTCCCTCCCCTCTCTCACTTCTTCCAACCTCTCTCCCCTCTCCTCTCCTCTTCTCTCTTCTTCCCTTCTCCTCCTCTCCCTCTCCACCCTCCTTACCTGTCCTCCCTCACGCATACCTCCTTCCTCGCACCCTTCTCTCCTCCTCCTCTCCCCTCTCCACCTCTCTCCACCTCCTCCTCTCTCCCTTCACCTCCTACCCTTCTCCACCTTCACCCCTCTCTTACCCTCTCTCCTCCACTCTCCTCCTCCCCTTCCTCCTCCTCCTCTCTCAAACCTCTCTCCCCTTCCTCCCTCTCCCCTTTCCCTCCCCTCCCACCTCTCTCTCCCCTCCTCCTCACCCCCCTCGACCTTCCCTTTGCCGGAGCGCCGTCAGACGAGACCCCGCAATCACAGGCGAATTCGATTGATGTCGTGGCGATAGCGGGGCGATAGCGGGGCGTGATAGCGGGAGTTGCTGGTTTGGGAGAAAAAATGGATGAGGTAAAGTCCTTGCGAGGGGATGGAGAGGAGAGGGAGAGGAGGGGAGAGGAGGGAAAGGTGGATGGGGGAGAGAGGGAGAGGGGGAGGGGGGTAGAGGGTAGAGGGGGATGGGGTAGTAGGGGGAAGGGGAGGGGGGAGAGGAGGGACGGGGGTAGAGGGGAAGGGGAAGAAGGGGAGAGAGGGAAGGTGGTAGAGGGGTAGATGGGGGAAGGGGAGAGGAGGGGAAGAAGGAGAGGAAGGGGGGGGTAAAGGGGAGGATTAAGGAGAGGGGGAAGAAAAGGAAGGAGAAGGGGAAGGGGAAGAGAATAAGGTAAAGGAAGGGAGAAGAGAAAAGGGAAGAAGGGGAAGGTGGAAAGGCAAGGGATAAGGAGAAGAGAAAACAAAAGGAAGGGGAAGAGGAAGAGAAGAGGTTATTCAAGTTTGTTTAATTAATTGCTTTCCCTTATTCTTTCTCATTATCCTTATCCTCTCTTTATTCTACACCTATCTCTCTCCTCTCTCTCTCTCTCTCTCTCTCTCCTCTCTCTTCTCTCTCTCTCTCTCTCTCTCTCTCTCCTCTCTTCTCTCTTCTCTCTCTCTCTCTCTCTCTCTCTCCTCTCTCTCTCCTCTCTCTCTCTCTCTCTCTCTCTCTCTCTCTCTCTCTCTCTCTCTCTCTCTCTCATCTCTCCCATTTAATCTTGTTATTCCATTTTTCTCAGAATCTTAAACATCTCTCTACGCTGCATAAAAAAACATCGCCCTGGCCACGTGACCCGAGGATGCTTACGGTCTCATACGTCTTTGATCTGTTCCCTCACTGGCTTCCGCCTGTGACGTCATCTTTTGGTTCACATACGCCACCTACGCTGTAATGACCGCGGGAAAAAACTATGTATCTTTTTTCTCTTTTCTCTTTTTTTTTCTTCTTTATTATCATTACTTTTTTTTTAATATACTGAATTTACAAGGCGTTGAAAGAGGAGTGGATAGTCTTTCAAAAATACTTTGAAGAAATAGAGAGGCGGAGTTATCTCTGAGACTGATTCACATACTCCACCTACACTGTAATGAGCGCGGGGAAGAACTTTTTTTTTCTTTTTTTTTTTTTTTTTTTATCATCATTATTTTTACTTTTTATCAAAAAATAACAAAATTTACAAGGCGTCGAAAGAGGAGTGGATGTCCTTTCAAAAATTATATGAAGGAACGGAAAAGTGACTTCACATCTGAGCGCGGGAAAGAATTATCTTCTTTTCATTTTCCGTTATCATTATCTTTTTCTTTTTAATATAACAAATTTAAAAGGCGTTGAAAGAGGAGTGCATGTCCTTTGAAAAATGTTTTGATGATATGGAAAAGCGACGTCATGTCCGAGACTTAATTCACATACTTCACCAGCGCATTGTGAAATTTGCGCGGGAAAATATTCCTTTTTCCTGAATTTACGACAAGTGTCTAATAAGGCGCGTGGAAAATAAGTGAACCTCTTACCAAAAACGATGTAACTTCATCTCGCAGAAATTGAATAATACGAAATAAGTCGAGAATATTTTAAAGAAAGTTCTGGAAATATATATAAAGGGTACCTAGTACATGTTAACAAGGATAGGTAATGTAAAATGTTTTAGAGGAGTTATGGGAGTTGTCGATAAAATAGAGTGGTATTTTCTTAAGCCTCGAAGGATTTCTAAACTTTAGTAGAATTAATTTGTTGATGGTAAAAAGTGATTCGCTCTCTCTCTTGTCCTCCCTTCCTCTCTCTCTCTCTCTCTCTCTCTCTCTCTCTCTCTCTCTCTCTCTCTTCATCTCATCTCCTCTTCATGTCTCTCTGCTTGGTCTCTCGACTTCTCTCTCTCCCCTCCGTGGCCAGAGTCTCTCTCTCTCTCTCTCCCGGTCCTCTCTCTCTCTTCTCCGCTCGCATCGCCTTAAATCGTCTCTCTCTCCACTTCTCTGTCTCCTCCGCCTCGCTCGGGCTCGCTTTATCGTCTCTCTCCTCTCCTCTGTGGAGGCTCTGTCTTGCCCGCCCCCGCCTCGGGCTATCGTCTCTCTTCTTGTTGTCCTCTTCTCTCTCTCTCTCTCTCTCTCTCTCTCTCTCCCCTCTCTAGTAGTCGTCGTCCTCCTCCCTCTCTCTCTCTTCTCTCTCTCCTCCCTCTCCTCTCTTCTCCTCCTCTCCTCTCCTTCACGCTCTCTCGTCTCTTCTCCTTCCCGTAGGCTATCCTTTCCTC